TCGGCGAGTTTCACACGGATTGGCTCATATAGCCTCGTATAGTGAGCAAAGCGTGATATATCAGGCTCCATATGAGCCGTTGCAGCAGAGTCTACATGTAGGGAGCCCGCGGGTACATTAAGAGATGATGAGATATTGGCAGAGTGCTCTTTTAGGGAGAGGACGAAAGGAGGGTGTGATACGGCATTCGCGTTAGGTTGGTCTGCCGGAGAGACTTCCATGTTAGTGGCAATAGCGGCAGTGGAAGAAACGGGTGAGGCTGACTTCGGGTTCTTCTCCTCCTTTGATAGGCGTGCACGGCACTGTAGCCAGATGTGACCAGCCTTGGTACAGTGTCCACACTTCGGGCGCCACCCAAGCACCCATCCATCGCCCTTCGACTCATCAAACCCTTTGGGAGGGACACGGTCAGTTTTGGAGGGACCGTTCACAGCACCCCGATGTCCGGAGAACATCGCAGCGTGCTCAGTGTTACCACCGTTCGCGGTGCGATGAAGCTCCTGGGTCTTCAGACGATTGACGATGTCATTGAGGTCGAGGGGCGTGCTACTGTTGATGAGAGTTTGACGAAAGGGGTCATAGTAGTCGGGGAGTGCACGTAGCAGGATGTGGACGAATATGGCATCCGGAACCTTGTATTCGTTCGGACTTGGGGTGGCCGTGGTGGTTGCTGCTGTAGCCGATGGAGGGTTAATGGAGAGAGCTGCGAGGTCAGATTTTAGCACAACGAGCCTCTGGAGCATCTCGGCAATCGAGGCACTGTCGTGTGCCTTTGGAATTGTGAAGAGCCGATCAAGATATTGGTTAAATCGGATAGCCTTCTGGGGTAAATATTTACCAGCCAGGGCGTCCCAACCTATCTTCGGGTCCTCCGTGTCACGGAGGTACACAAAATCCTGGGCATCTATAGCAGTAGACAGTGCACTGAGGGCGAGCAAGCGACGCTGCTTGTACAACCTTACGCGCTCGTCGTGTTTCTCCTTCCGGAGGACGTTCTGGTCCGGGTCAGTGAGTGGAGCAGGAGGTGAGGGTTCCTTCTCATCCCCGCTGATATAGGGCCATAACCCGAGCCCACCAGCCCACATCTTGAATCCAGTTGCCCATTGGGAGTAATTTGAGCCGTCGAGGGTAAGCTTCTCGTGCGGGTACTTTTCAGTTTTCGGGAGAGAGTCCGAAGATGACGTCATGGTAATATAGTGATAGTAAGGGGGTCAATGAGGAGTGACAGTTCCGATATTGGTTTGAACCAGTCAGGAACTGCGATGGGTGAACGAGCGTTCGAGAAGTACCAGTCCGAGTAAGAGAGATGGGAGATAGTGCCGCTATCCTTTAGGCAGGGCTCATAACCTATTAAAGGTGAGAACTAGACACGAGCCTCAGTCACGGGTAAAGAGACTAAATTGGTGTACTACTACGAACCTAGACACGAGCCTATGAATGCATATAGTGAGTACAATGATATAACGAAGAGAGGGAACTAACAATACTCACCTCAGTCACGGGTAAAGAGACTGAGGTGAGTTGACGGTTGCTCGATGTCTTAAGTAGGATGAAAAAAGGGGAAAAGGAGTCAGGTACTGTAACTTGGTGTCTCTGATATATATATGTCACTTGTCGTGACGTCTGGGTGGTCAGGCGGACGCTATAGGCTGCTCTTGACATCAGTGAGCTCGCCATTGTCATGATCCTCTGAGGGATGTTGCTCGAGTATGTCCTTGATAGACCAGAGCCAAACCTTCCCTTGAACATCTCCGCTGACAAGCAGTTCTCCATTGGGAGAAATTGCAACACAGTTAACCCCCGTGGTATGTATGAGTGCCTTTCCCATGTGCTGGTGCGTCTCTGTGTTCCACAGCCGCACGGTAGTGTCGTCCGAGGCAGTGGCAATGAAAGAGCCATCAGACGAGATGGCGAGTGAGAGGACCCAAGCATCATGACCGATACAAGGTTGACCGATCTGAGTCGATGAGTCCCAGAACTTGACTGTTTTGTCATATGATGTGGAGACAAGTTGCTGGCCGTCAGCTGACCAGACAACGCTTCGAACCAAACCTTGGTGAGCGTATATTTCGAGAAAGACTTCGGCGTTATTGGCGTTCCAAACCCGGATGGTACGGTCAGACCCAGATGCTAATTTTAGCCCATCTGGGCTGAACGCCACACTGAACACCGAAGTACGATGACCCTTGAATGTTTCGAGGACAGTTCCAGTCTCTGTATCCCATACAATAACCGTTTTATCTTCTGACCCACTAGCGACTCTCTTTCCATCGGGGGAGAAGCACACCGATAAAATCCAACTTCTATGTTTTATCAGTGATGACTTGATTACCATCTGGTTGTTCAAGTTCTTGACGTCCCAGATGATGATGGTATTATCACATCCACCGCTCACAACCTGCATTTCGTCTGGCGATATGGCCACTGCTTGCACTCCATCCTTGTGTCCCTTGAAGGGCCCTCCTACCAACGTTCCATTTTGCACATCCCATATTCGCAGGGTGCCGTCCATTGAACCTGTGACGACCCGTCGGTCGTCTTTGAAGAATGCGGATGCTTGCACTGATTCCGTGTGCCCTTGCATCGTCCGCATTGGCGTTAGTTGCTCTCGTATTATCGGCGCTGGCTGCCTTTTCAGATTGGGATATGCATCTCTTGCTGCATCAGGCACCCCTGACATGTTGCATTGACCTAGGCACAGAGATCGACGGTCAGTAGCATTTGAGGTGGACGAGGGGCTTACTTTGTGAATATAGTACGTCGTGTGGTGGAGGTTACCTTGTTTACAGGGTCACCTTTCAACTTTTCAGAAGTATAAAGTTATGCATCCGTGGGAAGTAGATTTCGCTCCAAAGCTAAGCCGAGTTTGTAAAATGAAATTTGGCCTTATGTATCTTAGCTGTTATCAGTTCACTGATGGCACGTTACCTCGTTATTTGTGTACCGGATAGGATGAGAAGACATGAAGTCGAAGATAAGATGAGCAATGGCATGCAGGCAGTGCAGTGTAGCAGGATGCAACCTGCATGCACAAACCCAAGATACAGAGAACCTGAATGATACCCACTGGCAGGTCGCGAGGCTAGCAACGAAATATATCCTCACTGTAGATGAGTCGGCCACAGGTCACTGCGTAGTACGTACGTCACTCCAGTAAGGTTCAATGAAAACCACGCGTATGCAGTGAGGCAATGACTCAGATGCCTAGTTCGATTGCCGTGATGGACTGAGGCAGTGAAGTGAAGAACTTCGATGGAACATCTACAGCTGCCCATCATATATCATAGCCCATGTAAGTGTCTGCCCCCCCGTAATGCTTTTGCTGACGAAGACAAAAAAGACTTGGGTCTCGAATGTCATCCCAGATTCACGAAGACGACGCATCCTTCAGAGACGCATCCTCCTCGAGTAATGTATCCTCCTTGAGCACTGTATTTTCAGAACCTAGCTCAATGACGCCCACCACTCACGATCCATTATTCAAAGGGTCTGCTCTCCTCGAAGGCCATAGATCCGTGGTATGGGACGTAACGTTCATCCCTGGCACCCGTCTCCTCGTCACTTGCTCCCCGGACAAAAGTATTCGGGTATGGGATTTGGACACGGGGAAACAAGTGGGAAAGCTTTCGCGGGGTCACGATTGCGAATTCTGGGCAGTTGCAGCGTCCCCTGATGGGCGTTGGATTGTGAGTGGAGGAGATAATGGGAGCATCCTGGTCTGGGAAGTTGCAACAAAGAAGAGCGTGCCGGTCTCGTTCAGGGGCCATGCGAATGTGGTTTGGAGTGTTGTATTTGCACCAGATAGCGAGACATTTGCAAGTGCATCATGGAACAAAACGGTATGCGTGTGGAAGAGAGAGACGGGAAGAATGGTCCTCGGGCCGTTCAAAGTGGACAGTAATGCAAACTCGGTGTCGTACTCCCCAGATGGGACAAAACTTGCAGCAGGCACAAATGAACACATCATCATTTGGAATACAGTAACGGGAAAAGCACTGCTGAAAATAGAACAAAGGGCATACAGAGTCGCATTCACTCCAGATGGTCTCCGTCTTGTCAGTGGAAACTCGAAAGACATCCGAATTTCAGACGCTACCACTGGAAACATCATCAAACAATTTGACGCACACACCGAACTCATCGAATCACTAGCCATTGCTCCCAATGGCACAAAATTCGCCACCACATCATACGACAATACGACGCGTTTTTTTGACCTGACAACATTCGAACCCATTGGCGAGCCACTCGAGCACCCTGATTCCGTGTACTCCGTGGCTTTTTCCGAGGACAGCCAGCTCATCGCGACCGGTTGTGCCGACAAGCTCGCTCGCACATGGACAGTTCCTCTGACCGAGTCAGAGAAGGAGTCCCAACAGGTGAGCAAATTCTACCTTTTTTTTCACCATCCCTAACCGTCCTTCCAGCCGGAGATAATCCCAGACTTAACATCACGAGACGATGAACTTCCGCCGAGATTCTTTGACGGTGTTAGTCCTCGTTTAGCTTCATCTTGAGCATAGCTGAGCCCATGTCCAGGTCAACACAAATTATCCACCCCGCCGCTCCAACCACATCCCATACGGAGTGCCACAGCACTCTGCACCACAGTCTCGCATCATGACCTTAGTAAATCGTCTACCATTTCGCAGGAAATCCCAACAAGCACAACCCTCATCAGGACATCTCCACCGTGACCACCCCAACAAGGTCGCGCAGTTCCTGCAGCGGCACGTCCCCTTTCGTCGGTCGATATCTAGCCCGGGCCAGCCACAAGTCGTCAACGTCGCAGCTGCACATGGTAAAGAGGTAACGTAACCCTTCTTACTTCTCGTTCCCTCTTTGTTGATTGACACTCTACAGCGTGTTATTGTTGTCTCCGTGCCCCATTACAAGAAAGTCAATGACACCCGACGTCCGGCTAGAGAAGAGCCTGTGTCGCACGACACGGCACAAAGCGACACAACGTCTGTGATCTCTTACACCGATTCACTCCCGAACGTGCATTGGTTCATGGCATTCCTTTGCTATCTCTCCTGCTGGTCTGATGGTAGACTGAGGATGCCTCCGCGATGGAGCTTGGAGCCCGCCCAGTCATCACACCGGGGTAATGATGGTGATGCTCACGCTCGCAGTTAGATCATCGTGCTTTCATTTCTATTCACTTGCATTTCTTGATTTCGCACTGTGTCCGCATTGCCGCGTTGATCACAAGCTTCTACACACACACACACAGATACCAAATCTGATGCCACGGTTGCACATCATTGTCGCTGTGCATTATATGGCCCATCTCTACACAGGCAATTGTAGATACTGATGTATCCTGACGTCCTGTTTATGATGCTCGAGTGATATGTAATATAGACATCAACGAAATACAAAATGCAGCCAGTATCCTTCATTGCACATGAAAGAAATGCCCAAATAAACAAGTACGTATATAAGCCCATATAGATCAACGTGTCTGAGAAGCATGCTCCCAGCTTCCATCTCCACTGCCACTGCCGCTCCCAGGGCTTGCAGATCTAACATCAGGAGTTACATCATGCTCCCCTCGAGGCTCGTCTCTGTACACTGGAGCAGGGCCGGCAGACGGTGGGTCATCATCGTCCAAGAACCCAGAGTGAAACTCTGCGCCACGCAACCGAGTCTCTTCATCTGCATCCTCGTCATCCGACACCTCCCCAAACGCATCATACAACTCCTTGGCACGAGGCCTGCCTTGCCTCGAGACTGAGCTCATCTGCAGTTCGTCACCTGCGCTGAGCGCAGCGTACGCTCGATGCTTCACACGGCGTCTCCAGAAGAACACTCCTGCACCCACACCGAAGAGCACTACTGCGCCGATGGCGCCGAAGAACCATTTCTGGCTAGACACGAGGTTGGACATGTCTGAGAACCAGCCTTCATCTGGTGTGGGCGTCATCGTCGCTGTCGCCGGTGCGGATGGGGATGGGAACGCAGGTTTGCTGGCCTCGCCCTCGGCAGTACCGTGGTCATCTGGGAGACCTGAAGTGGGTTTAGGGTGGGATTTGCTGGATGTCGATGTGGGGATGTTAATTGCGTCATCGTTAGCTGTGGAAGGAAGCTGGTACTCTGAAAGCGGGAGAGCGTAGGTTGTTGAGACAGTGGGATCAATAGTTGAGCCCCAGAACATGAGACGCCATCCATGGAAAGTTCCGCTGTGCCCCTCGGATGATTGGTCAGAGACCTTGAGCGTCCAGGTGCCGATCATATTTTCACCCCTACGAAAACACTTAACAATCTTGAAGGAGTCTTGGAAAACATAATAATCATACCAGTGCTTGACGGACATAAATCTCCACCCTCTAAAACCAGTCCCGGCGTGGTCGCCATCCCGCTTTGCTGCAAGAACGCTACGCACTCCACCAGGGCTTGTGAGCTCAACTTCGACATCCCCGCGCTTGGTGTGCGATATCCACACTCTAACTGTCACGTGCTCCAACCCCTCGAAGTTGTGCGTGTCAAGCATGTCCTGCGTTACCGTGAACGAGCTCGTAAGACCTCCAGGGATAATCGGCTGCCCGCCTTCCATGTCTCCATCCTCAGTAAGTAAAGTGCCGTTGTCGATCTGTATGGCAGGAGGGTGGAAACGCGCTTGTGGTTTCACAAGCTGCCAATCTTGTGCTGCTTGAATATAGGCGTAGGCATCAAGCTTCCCGAAGCCATATTTATACGAATACATCTGTCCAGAAGCCATGGGTTCCCAGTCAGGATCTTCAGGGTTTATCATCCGGGCGGTTTTCACGCAAAGATGTTGTATGTCTCGCCATGTCAGGTCAGGTCTGTCATGAAAAATTCGTTAGTACAATCTCTGTGAAGGGATAAGGGTCTCACCGAACTTGAAGCACCAAAGCAAATACACCAGCTGCATTGGGGGCGGCGGCGGAGGTGCCACCGTGAGTGTCGGAGCATTTGTTGTGGGTGTCAGTAGTGACCTTCAAATAACCTCAGTTGGCTTCGGCGTGCGGAGTCGCAGGCTTACAATATGTTGACCGCTCCCTGAACTGTATGCTACAACCATATTGGCAGAGCAGGGTTCAGAATAGTATGGGTGTAGGCCTTTGAAGTCTACAGCCGAGACGGTGACGGAGTATATGCTGTTGGTGTACCCATCAAAATTGCACTGGTCTCCCTGCGCAGCCCCGTTCCCGCTGGCAAAGACATATATTGATCCTTTCCCATCCCTACCGTTTTGTATGCCGTTAACAAAGGCCTTTTCAATGATATATCCCGGCGCTTCCATCGACCTGCCGTCATCAGGTGGTCCCCAACTGCAACTAAAGATGGACACGTTGTGTAAGCCGTAGTTCAAGGCAGCTGCTTCGTCAGCGTCGGTTATAGGCCCAGATAATATGCGTACGCCAGCAACTTTTGACTTGTAAGCGAGTCCGACACCGCAGACGTCATTCTTGACTGCGGCGATCTGACCAGCACAGCGCGTACCGTGATTATCATTTGAAAGAACTGGGGTGGGCAAATCGGTGTGGTCGTTAAAGTCGTATGAATTGTCAGCATCCTGTGAGAAAGTCAGCGCCGAAATGAATCACACAGCGTATGGCGCACAAAGTTTTCAGCCAAGTCCCGACTCTGGTAGTCCAATCCATCATCTACCAGGGAAGTAATGACGCCTTCCCCCATGATACCCATTTCCCACACACCCGTCACGTTCATCATATGCTCGGGGGTACTGGTCATTAACGATATGCCATTGCTCTGTAAATAGGGGGTCCACGAATCCAAGTCGTTCTGCGATGATTTCGGATGCTTTCGGTTGAGGGTCGCCAGGAGTTACGGGAGGTGGTGCACGTTCTAGAGAAGAACCGTCTCGCTTTATCCGTTGGCGGGGTATCTGGGGGGATAAATATTTTATGGACGATAATATGCGGTGTGCACGGGCTTGGCGACCCGCCCGTGGGTATAAGCTAGTGGAATGCCCTGCAAGGGTGACCAAATTCTCGAACCTGCCGAGGACTCTATCTGAGACTGTCCTTGGAGAAACACTGGGCATGAGCTTTGAAGAGCGTACTAGCCATAGGTTTTGTAGTTCTCCGACCTGCTCGACGAGTTCTACTCCAAGTTCTCCGATGCATTCATTTAGAGTTGCGCCTGCAGAGGGGTGATGTTCGAGGACATAATAATCGTGTGTTGTATAAGAGCGCTTGGCTGGTTGTGAAGCACAGAAGCATTGCTGGATCAAAAGAGCCAGAAGAAGCTGGAGGGGCAGTCGCATGTCGGTTGTCGACAGTGGGAACGTAACTGTGAGCGACTTTACCAGCGACTATCTCGGAAAATTATAGTGCCACGTGGTCGAAAGGTGGAAACAGTCCGCTCTAAGCCGCTCTAAGAACTTGAAGATCATCACCTCGGTCGACCCCCCAAATCATCCTGTTTTGTTACTAAACTTTTCGGTTAAGTATAGATACCTTTATTAGTTGGTATCGTTACTCCTGAGGCTTGAGCCTTTATCTTTGTACGGTGACCCACCAAGCATAATTTATGTCGAAGAAGCGGCACTTTGGGCCTACGTCTGCCCCATGCATCATCCTCGACAGCCTCAAAGAGGGTTGCAGAGCCTGAGCCTGAGTCCTCACTGCGCGCCGGAAGGAAAAGAAGGAAGAGGTTACTTTCACGTGTAGTAAGTTAGCCACTCCATCATTTCAAGCTGATATCAAAAGCTGGTTGTGCGCAGGTCGATTCAGACGCGTCAGAGGAATTAACCCTCGTCGTACGCAATTCATCCGTGCTCAACGACCCGGCAGAGCCATTGCAACAGCATCCTGAACCAAAAGAGCTCGCACCACCTGAAGGCACGTCTATCTGAATGTCTCACATCATCTCCTTGACATTCGTTCTAGAAACGGTGGTCTATGCACCCCCCGAGTATGAATACGATGAGGACGAGAACTTTCAGGTCATAGGCGAAACCGACACCGCCGAACAGTCTGATTCTGGCAATTCTGAGGGTGTACCTGTACGCATATTAACAGATTTCGCCATATACGAGTGCGCGACACGACAGCTAGTGCCTATTGGTGAGCTAATTAACGTCAACCTTGCGGTGAACAACAAGATCGTGTACCGAGCTTCGGGTTACGTGAAACCCCACATGGATGACGATGAATACTATGATGATGACTGCGACGATGAGGATGACGGGAATGGTATGTCTAACGACGAGGATTGCCTCCAACGGATTCGTTTGACAGAGATCCGGAAGTTCACGATTCACGACATACGACAGCGCTCTAGAGAACTCGACGAGTAAGTGTTTATCCATGATACTGAGTGGTTTGCAACTCATTTGGCAATGTCCAGCAAGTTTTATATCCTAACGAAACATGCTTGGTATATTCTCGACCTTCCTTCAGAACAATATACCCCTTTCTTTCATGGGTTGTGGCTGAGGCATCGAGTCGCCCATCTTCTCGTGTCTATGGCCCTGGCCAACCCACGGCTGACTTATAAAGATTTTGTTTCTGCCCTTCATATAACTCCTGACTCGTCCGATGAAGTTTCTATCGCGTTAACCATCATCGGGCGTGAGCTCAATGAGAATGACATACAGTCTGCCGATATTGTATGTATATCTAGGTTTCATGTATGTTTCATCGCTTTCTGACCGTCGGACAGAAATCTTATATTTTCGCAACACTTGACGAGCTTCGCGATGACGGAATCTGTGTGGCGCGTACTCCGGTAGTGAAGGATATCGTCGGGCAAGAAATGTCTTATCACTTGATGGAGGAAATTACTCCCGCCCCCCGCTCGCGTACACAGCGCCCGCCCCAGAGTCGTTCGCCGAGTTCCAGTAATATCGAGAAAGAAGTTCTCAAGCATAGGAACAAAACCGTCACAACACCCGTCGTCGGAAGGGTCGCACAACGATTATTCGAAAATATTAAGGTTGCTGGAAAACTTACGGACGAGGACATGCATATATCGGACGATGCACCACGACATCCCTCTATAATACACGCCGCTAACCCGAACTCTGTGCAGTGGCTGGACCCCGTGGATGACTATCCTGGCTTCTATGGTTCTGTTCTCGTGGACGAAGTAAAGTATTCAGTAAGTTCTTTTTTCATCTCGATAAAAATTTCTTATTCGCGTTAGGTCGGAGATGCTGTCATGGTCGTACCTGGAGAAGACGAGGATACTACTCGTGCAAAATCTTACAAGTACCAGCCCTCCCAGTCGACAAATAAACTCGCAAATGATTATTGGTGGGTCACGACCTCGTGCGCCTGCTATGTCATTTATGATGGGTTTACCTCAAAAGGTTTTGCATGATTCGGTATTTCTTCGAGGACGAGGGCGTCAAGAAGTTCCATGCGCAGTGGTTCACACACAGCTCGAAGACACTCCTCCAAGAAGCAGGACATTCACATGCGCTTTATCTGATGCTCTCCGAATGCAGCGACGTTGAAATTGACGCCATCTCACAAAAATGTAATGTCCGTGAATTGCCAATGGACAGTTTCCAGCCGGACGAGTCAACTCTTGATGACGACAACGATTTTCATTCTGGGTATGCAACCTCTTTTAGCGGTGCTTCATGCGACATTGAGCACAGCCCTGCAGACTTATGTTCAACAGCCTCGAGTCCAGTTTCATTCGGCTTTCAGACTTGGAAACTCAAACACTTCTCAGCTTCTGCGACGACCATAAGCAGTGCCTCGCTTGCGGTCACAAGGAACACGCATCGAATTTCACCGATTCACGAGCCCTTCGAGATGGCTTCTCTCATAATGATGTCAACTATCATAAGGGTGACTTCGCGTATATCTCAATGGGCCCTAATAGTGTCTATCAAATCGGCCAGATCGAGGACTTCAAAATTAAACAGGGCAGGTGCATTGAAGTCATCGCTCGACTCTTTGGGCGCTACGATGACGTTGTCCGGGAAGTCGGTCGTGGCATTGATAAACCAAAAGGAGTCACTTCTGACGACGTAAGGGCACCAACTGCACCCTAATCTCTCTCACTCTCTAACTCATATTTCGTAGCGGCGCTTGTTCCATTCGCAGAGCCAGGAGAAAACAAGGCCCGATGATATCCGCGGACAATGTTTCGTTATTTATGAAACGGACGACACCGCTATTGATGCTTGGGTCGCTCACGACGATCACTACTACGTGAACGAATGCGCCGATTCCCTCGACGTTCGTGCGCTCGATGGCCTAAATCCGTGGTCAAGAAATGAATTCTGGCACTGCGTTCAATGCCACGAAGAGCATAAAGCTAATCTAGCACGCAGGGCTCAACAATTGCAGAGGTTCGGGCCGCTTCGAGGGCTGGAGCTTTTTGCTGGTCCGACTTTATTTTTTGTTGCTCTGTAACTGATTTAACATGTACTTGAAGGTGCGGGTGGCCTCGGAACTGGATTAGATATGTCTGGCTTCGTGGAGACAAGATACGCAGTTGAATTTTCTCCAGGAGCGGCGAGGACTTACAAGTCAGTGTGCATTTCATGCTCGACGCACTTGTGTTAATATTATCTCAGGCAAAACCATCCTAATGTGACGGTGTACAATCAATGCACAAACGTATGCCTGCAGCACGCCATTGATGTCGCAGATGGGAAGAATCCCCGCCCCCTCCAAACTCTGGGAGATAAGAAGCGCCTACCCTCAATGCCTAAGCCGGGTGAAGTTGATTTTATCTATGGCGGTGTGTAATGATTCATGTCATCGGCGGTGATGTTTATCGTGTTTACTAGGTCCGCCATGCCAGTCTTTCTCAAAGATGAATCACGCGAAGGTAAGGATCAGAAATATTTCTATGCATCATAGTGATAATCTTGTTCTTAGAGAGATGACGACATACGGTGAACACGACGTGCGGTTGGTGTGTATCTGCACTAAACGATGTATTGCAGGTCTACGCTTGTCTGTAACATGATTGCATACGTAGAGTTCTACCGGCCGATGTACTTCCTCTTGGAGAACGTTGGCGGAATCCTAGAGCATGCATTGAAGGAAAAAACTGTCGCTTCGGGCGTTGTGAAATTCATCCTCGCCGCCCTCCTTGCCTTAAAGTATGATTTGATACATTTTCGATGTTCGATGTTCGATGCTGATTTTTTTGCAGTTACCAGATTGGATATAATGTTCTTCACGCAGCAAACTATGGCGCGCCTCAAGTACGCAAGCGGGTTCTGTTCGTGGCGGCCAGGCAAGGAGTTCCCCTGCCCGATTTCCCGATCCCGACACACGTCTTTCCGCACGCAAGAGTACAGCGTGTCAAGTTGCCTACTGGAGCATACTTAGCACCTGTTTCGCGCTTGAAGTACGGCGACAACAATGCTGACCTCTCCGCTCCGCTGCATTTCGTCACGATTCATGAAGCTATTGGTGATTTGGTATGGTCCAGGAACCGTCATTTGATAACTCGTTCACTTCAGCCTATTTTTCAGCCTCCATTCGATTGGTATGCACTGTTGTTCCCAAATTTGGGAACCTGGCTTATTCGAACTTTCATCCAGGGTTAACCCACACACCAACATCTCGAAAACTGCCGCTGACAAAGCGGTGGAACGCAAGCGCAAAGACGAGCTTGGGATTCCATCTTTTTCAGCGCTGCGTTCTGCAAGAACTTCAACGGACCCGTACGCTGGTTACTCGAAACCATGTCAATATCCTAGTGGGCCACTATCCCGCTACCAGAAGCTCATGCGACAGGGGAGCGAAAAGCTTCAGTATCATTATACCAAACGCTTCAACGATATCATCATTGAACGGTACATTTTTGCTGTTTGTTCTGGATTGGTGCCCCACTGAAACCCGAACTCAGAACTGTAAACGTGCCTCTAAGAGCGGGAGCTAATCATTTCGGTAAGTCAAGCTAGATTACTGGCTATGTGGAATTCACTGTGAAGGCCATAGACTTGCCCAAGGAGCTGCACACCGGACTCTCGAGGTACGAGAACGCTAGGAAAAAATACAAAGGCGAGACGCAACACGTTCGTATTCAAACACATTAGCTGATCCTTCGATAGCCGTCTTTCAGCGGCTGGATGCAGACATGTACTTTTCGACTGCACTGACCACGGTGCAGCCAAATAATAAGGGGGGTCGAGTACTGCATCCTTCGGTATGCATTCTAGTTATTATATTATTGTCGTTCGGAACCTGACTCCTTAACGCTTCATATGTCAGCAAAAACGCATCCTTACGGTCCGTGAATGTGCACGTGCCCAAGGATTCCCAGATAACTATGAATTCGTCTCGGTGAACAAGGAGAAGAAGGATACGGCAAAGGCTATCCAGGATGTAAGCTTTTGCTACGGGTTGCGCCGTTCTACGACTGATGTGTTCCACAGCAACTTAGACAGATCGGTAATGCGGTACCTACATCGCTGGCTCAGGCTCTCGGGAAGGCTTTTGGCGGGGCGATGACTAAAATGTGGGATGTAGAGCCTAGCAGGGATGCGAGTCCGATTCTGTGATGGCAATGATGGGAGTGAGCATGCAAGGTGCCTGTGTGTCATAGATCGTAACGGCGCTGGCGCCAACCCCCGACTCGCTTATTTCTGGCATTGGGTCTATCGAATTAAACGTAAACTAGTCTTTCTATTTCATTTTGCGTTGGCAAATGACCAGGCTGCTAATCCTATTAATTCTATACTGTCAATGTATCATGTTCTTCGAAGACGTCCATCTTGACCAGTCTCGCAGGTTCGAAATCTGCTCCACAATCTTTTTTTGCTTTTACCACACCTTAACATTCACTCATGGATGGACCCGAAGTTCAAGGTCTATCTTAAGTAGTCATAGCCAACTGGCACCAGTACAGGTTAGAAATCTGCTCTCTTGCGTGGTGTGGATTCGAAACCTGCGGACAAATGTGTTCTCGCACCTTGACGTTCACTCGTGGACAGTTCTTTAATGGAGGTCCATCTCAACTTGAGAAGTGGTCAAGGTGATTACCACAAACAGAGTCAAAATCTGTTTCTCTTGCGAAACCTGCCGACGACATGGCCTTTTCTCTCCCAACACACCTTGATATTCACTCATGGACACTTTCGTTGGAGGTTCGTTTCATTGGTCTCAGCCAACTGGTAACCACGACGAAATCAAAATCTGTTTCCCTTAAAGTGGACTGTGCAGGTTCGAAACTTGCTGACAATAGGTTTTTTTCTATCGGAACACCTTGAAGATTCGCTCATGGATGGTTTTCTCGGAGGTCCCCCTAACTGGTCATAACTAAGTTGTTACCGCAACAGAGTCTAAATCTGTCTGGTGGCCGCCAGCGCAGGTTCGAAACCTGCGGACAACAAGGGTTTTTTTCTAATAACTGGACCAGAATCCGAGGGAGCTCGGAGTTTTTTGGATCACGTGACAGACGCGTATCAACGATCAACGTGCACGTCGCGCCATCATTTTTAACCACTACCATCCTCTGCGGACTCGCGTATGCAAGTATTTTTCTGAGATGGTGGATATTCTTACTATCACCCGAAAATATACAGAGACTGCTCGTCACAAATATTCGTACTTCTGGGATTCACAGTAGCTCAGACCATTGGATTTTGACATCTGTCGTCCTGCAATCAACTTGAAAACGATGATGGCTCTTTTGAAACCTTCAAAGGAAGAAAACTGCCGGCGACGCTCTGCTTCTCCATGAACAATAGACAGGATTGTCGAGTGTAGCGATGAGTTGGACGCTGATGATCAGTGGGAACTGTCCTTGGATGCGAAGACGACTGATAGGACCCAGCTTACGAGATCGGAGAAAGTGTACCCTTGCATGGGAGAAGAGCATCGTTACGAGGAACGAAAAGTTGATCCCGAAAGCCAGTTTCTACCGGTCTTCAAATACTTTTTCGAAATGCGTTACACAAAATCAGCCCGGGGCTATAACGACAACCCTTACGGCGTGCCCGACCAAGCAGCGAAGAAACTTGATTTCCTATCTCTATTTAGCGCGCTATTACCTGACCTTTCTCTACCTCAAACATTCGACCTTGGCAGATTCTGGGTTCAGAACTACAAAACGCGCTTGTCAGCTCTTTCGGGCGAGCCGTGTTGCCCCCGTGAACCGTTATCCTGAGGAAATCAAGGAAAAAGTGAGCGGTGGTTCTTCCTCTTTCCTCAAGTTCAAGTTGTATGGTCAGACGCACCTGAATAGGAAGAAGATGGCACGCAACAGCATAATGATCTTCTCAGGGCACTCTTCACCTTTCAATCATTAGGTCGTGCAAAAATAGAGACGAGCATTTAGGTGATCACCCTTCCTGAGGGTGGCTACGACCCTGCAGAGGTTTTATCTTTTCGGCTATGCGCAGTGCAACGTGTCCATTATTTTGCCCAGATTGTAATCACCACTTGACACCAAGAAGATTTCCCAGAAGCGCGTTTCCAAACGATTACAGACGCCCAATTACTCTTTTACCCCAACATCGGTAGACCAGCCGCTATTCGACAGTGAACACGATACAAGAAGGGACGCCAATATACCATTCTTCTACGGCATTCTTCGCCAGACACCCGCTCTTTCGCAACGCGTGACATACAAGTCGCTCCAGCCTGAGGGCTTGTTGCCAGTGCTCTTGCCCTTCCAACGGCGTAGTCTGCAGTTGGCGTCGTAAGCCCTTCTCCTGTAGATACTAGGGAGAATACCCCAGGTACTTCGCAATACCATTGATTTCCCTCACATTAAATTAATGAAATGCAGGGCTCGGGAAGACAATTGAATGTATCTCATTCTACTGAACCCCGCGCCCGATCACGATCCTATCTACTCAACTTGAAGTGGTGGGATGCCGAAGCTAAGCTTGAAGTGAAGGAGATCAAGGTGGCGCGCCTATGCGCCATTTGGAAGCCAAGGTGCGTACGTGCCAACCTAGATCCACTAATGTGGGAGTCGGGGATGGGTAGCTGTTACATGGTGGACGGTGATTGCATGGAAGCCTAGTGGAACGATTGGACTCGCTGAGGTTGGGAGAGGTATTCTTATGACCACGATGAACTGGCCCTGCCGTGTAAGTTAAGTATTCAAAGTGAGCCGAACGTTATGTAGTGTATCGCTTCTGAAATTGTGTGTCCTCGGAGACAATACATAGCTGACAATATTACACGAATCAGACTCGGAGTCAGGTTGTGATGAGTATCCTAGAGGGATGAACGAATACATGATTCGTTGCCAACTGTCCCCAGCGATGATCTCACCCAAGCATCAATGCTTCTCACCCGCTCTCGGGATCTTTCTGCATCATACGCCTAAGCTCCACTTCTGGAACCCTCGTCTGAAATTCAATAGCGCATGGGACATCTGGCATCATCGCGGTCATGAACCCCATGTCATCCTGCGGCTTCGTAGGATCCAGACTGAGCCGGAAGGCCCACAGAATAAGAAGCGAATTTATGAATATCGATCTGTAACATTTCAGATGAGATCGGGAAATCATGTGCGTGGAAAGAACTGTAACCTGCTCGCAACGTGTTGACCTGGGCATACGCTGGAAGGAAGGACAATCAAACAAAGTATATCCCAAAAGACAGTGCTTACCGCCGACCAAACCCAAATACAAAGAATGTGAGATCGTCTCTCAAGCGACCTTGGTCGTCAATCCAGCGCTGGGGTTTGAACGCATCAGGCTCGGGGTAGACTTCTGGATCTCGAGAGATGGCCCTGAGGCGGTGATAATTTAATATATCATATCTTGAAGGACATCGACTTACCAGTGGTTGCCGATTACCGTAGTTCCAGCGGGAATGCAATAGTTTTCCTGGCGGCAGATGTCAGATTATCCTGGGATGAAAAATTGTTCCGAGAACACTTACCCAAATGACATCTTCAATCGTTCGGTGAGGTATACCTGTGGGTGGACTGTGTAACCTTCAGGCGCAGGACCGACCATTCAGAGACCCACCTTCAGACGGTCTCCATCTCAAAGCCTCAGAGATAAATGCATCCAGACGAGGAAGGGATGGTTTGTCGGCGAAGGTCGGCGCTTTGGCAGAGAAATCATTCAATTGACAGAACTGCGATGCGAAATCGAGCTACCCTCGCTCCAATCCGATGACTGCATCAAGCTCGGCCTGAACTTTAGCCTGCTCTTCAGGAAATTGTGCGGCGGCCATTAGTACCTTGCCTATCGCCACAGCAGTCTGAGACCTCATCTCAGTGTATAGTGTTCACAAAAAAGAAAGATGCCTACTGTTTCGGTTCCAGCTCCAAAAAGGGCGCCAGCAAGAAACGCCATTTCGATCTCTGTCAAGCCATAGAGATGTCCATTTTCTAGAATGTATTTTGAAAACGAAGGGCCAGTGTTCACATTGCTCTGCTGTGGAACAACTCAGACATCATGTAAAGATAGGCAAGGCAATGCATACCATGTGCAGTTTCACACGGTTCAGCTGGTTTGTGTAGAGCCGCCTGTTTCTCTTAAACTGGTCTTTTAATTCTGGCGCATACCAAGGAAGGTATTTGAGCCACGGTATTGACTCCACCAAGTAAGCACCGGGGCGCAGGATTGAACGAAATCTCTCCAAGATCTGGTAAGCTTCTCTGACTTCGGGGTCAGTTGCCGACGTCGGCGTGGTCTTCCCATATGTAACTTTCATGATCGTCGCTGCGGCATAACTTCCAAGAACCCATAAGCAACATACTCTCAGACCCCGGCGCCGCACGTAGGAAACCGCTTACGTTATTAAATGGCTTTGAAAGTTGTGTGGATCGTCAAGAATGCCGAGGATCGCGGTTTTCGCTTGTGACATCTGCAGGGGCTGGTATGCCTCGGCTGATTTGGGCTGAAGGTGCGTATGGAGTGCTCTGTACCGCATCGAAAAGCAACTTAGATGAGGGCTGTTTGAGCCTTTACAGTATCGCGGCGACAAACCTACGCATCCGACGGCATCTGTCCCCAGCGTCTAATAAAACAAGGGATAGTCCGCGTGAAAAAATGTCTCCAGCAACAAGGCGAGGTCGATCAGCAAGCATTCTACCCTGCTTCTCCATTATATCCACCGCGGCCTGCCACAGAGTGTTAAGTCCGGAGATGCTAACTTGTGATAAAGGGACTAACTTTGTGGCGGCCGATAATCACGGTGGTCTGAATTCCTGAGCGAATAGTAACCAGAGGGCCATGCTCGTCGATCCACCGCGCTACAGTGAGAGATGTGCTGATCAGAAATTTGATACAATTAGATTACAAAAAAGAGGTCGCAAATATGAAACTTTACTTGCGAGGTGGTAAGAAGTGCCCCCGAAGCCTCCAAGTGGGAGGAGAGGGTGGGAGAGGAAGGCGGCTATCTGATTTGCGAAGGTAAGCCCAAACAATCACTCCAATTATCCCAACACAAATCGTAGCACCGAGGATGGGCTGCGTGTTGTCAGAAATGCGCAGGTCAGCGAACTGTAGCATGACCGATTGAAGGAGTGGAGAGAGATAGGACAGACCTCATTAAAAGTGCATTCAAGTTATTTAAATAAAGCATCCCACGGCAACCCCACGGGAAGCGACATACCCCATTACACAAGATCCGGGAACCAAGCAAGATCTTGTCGAATCTCCGCGACTACGGTCAGCGCCACCAATACTAAGTTAGCCTCCTGGATCATAATCGGCTTACTCATTTATGGCCTAGTGCACTGGCTACGAGCGTCAACTTTGACGCGCGCTGCGTCAGTAAATCGGGTACGATGATGATGATGATGGCGATGGCGATGGTGGTGGTAGGCACTCGGAAGTTTGGAGGTATGGTGCAGTTTACCGAGTCTTGAAACCAGAAGTGGAGATCTTTGAAAACTTCTTAGGCTTGTACACCGGTAAAACACATCCGGTCATGAATCATGTGTATGCACGCTCCAGGCTGATAATGAGATGGTATAGGCTAACGTGTATGAGAATGCTGGCTCGTTGCACCTAGTCACGGTGTTTCTGTGGCATGTGATTGCAAAATCATACATCGGGAGAAGCTTATACCGAGGATATATGTGGAATCTGGTAGCTGATCCTTATCGTTGCCATGATCCACGTACGTCACTGATAGCACCTTTGCGTATAGCCTAGCTTGTTTTCGAAAACGGAGTGGACTTATGGCGGGTACGAATTCAATCCAGACCGATCCGAACGGAATGCTGACTCTGAAGGTGCAAACAAATACAATACTATTTGTCATAGCATCCAATACGGTCACCGATCACATGTATGGCTAAGTCACATGAACTGGAGTCAGGAATCGGAAAGGTAGGTAACAAGATGTACTCAGACCTGAAGAAAACGCTGGAAAGGGTCAATGCATCTTCACAGTACTCGCCATGCTGAACGTAGTGTTTTCAATGACAGTTACACAAGAGTGCTGGAATGCGAGCAAAACATCTACTGTCATACCAACTTATTCTGTTAGAACAGCAGTTGGGACTTGCAAAAGGGTGAACCTCATGATGGCACATCACAGCCAACCTCAGTGGCATGGACTGAGGCTATGACTAGCCTATGAACAATAATTTACGAGCGTTTGAGGAGAAACACGTACGTGTCAACAGTAAGACACATATGCGAATTCAGTCACAACCTGGAGGCTGGCAGATATGCAACTTGAATACTGCTCACCGCGATGCATGAGTGCCTGCTCCCCCGTAACACTCCAGCGGACAGAAATATAGCACAAGATTCAATGGTGTCCACGCCCACGAAGGTGATATATACTTCAAAACGCCCGCCCCGCCAGCTCGAAAGGAAACACCCGTGGGGGAAATGACACTCGATCATCAACGTTGAGTGACAGGTCCCCCATACCCGTCTCTTCTTCACTTGTTCTGATGATAAAAGTCTTCGGGTATGGGATATGAACACGCCGGGGCAACAAGTTGGAAAGCCCTTGTTGAGTTACGATGAACTTAGGACAGTTAAAGCGTCCCCTGATCCGGGCGGCGGGTTGTAAGCGGAGCGTCGAATGGAAGTGTCCTGGCCTGGGAAGCGCACATTCAAAAGCCATGAGATTTATTTGGTTCATGGCCGCCCGGTGGTGTCGTATTTGCACCGGGCATTTTCAAGTGCATCATGGGACGAGATATTTTGCGTATGGAAGAGAGAGACAGGCGAAATCATTGAGGACATCCAGGAATTGTTTTAGTCGGAGTTTCAACATCATGCGGCTGACATACCAAGTGAGCGGCGTGACGGTGAACACAACCACCGCCCCCCGGTACTTCAGTGTCAGCCACACGGTGCGACCTGTTCTATAACACAAATGATTCATGGCAGAAGCTCAGAAAAAATACAGACGGCCGAGACAAGGGATAATCAGCAAGCATCAATGGTAAAGCATACACATGCGAAAGCCTACTACTTGCTCGCACCACTGTCATCCTGAACATTTCCGGCTGTATGTCACATATCATCATCGTCTATGACATTGTATGCAATGCCTCTGTCACTGCCGTTGTAAGCATCTAGGAGGAACGGGCCAAATCGGGCTTAGATTGGCCAGTTCCTTCCAAGATGCTTGACAAGCGAAACGCAAGCAGATCTACATCGTCTCTGAGTCCTGGGGGATAGGCTTGTGGGTGGGTGAGCAGTAACCTGCTGGCATGCTTGGATTCGAAGGTGGGAGCAGTACTGAGGGTGAAGAACTGGCTGCAGCGGGCAGGCGAGAGGCGCTGATCAGCATTGCAAGTTGACTCTGTCATCAAACAGCTGCCAGACTTGCCGATTGGCCTTTCTGGCGAAATAGTTCTTGGGCCATTCCAAGTGGATAACAGTCCAGAGTCGTACTCCCCGATGGTAACAAACTAGCAGAGTCGTATTCACCCCAGATGGTCTGCGTCTCGCCAGTGGCCCAGACTTGAGCTACGTTCGAATCTCAGATGCCTGCCGCCGGAGATACCATCAAGCAGAGTGATTTGACGTACACACATCCACTGGCCATTGCTTCCACAACATTTAACAAGATAACACGGTTCGCTGAGCCGACCACATTCGAACCAATTGGCGAGCCACTCGAGCACCCCAATGACATTCACTGCATGGTTGTTTCCAATGACGGCCTGTCGCGACAATCTCATTCGTACATGGACAATTCTTCAGAGTGAGTCACGGGAGGAGTCCCAGCAGGTGAGCATTCTTCCGTCATGGTATGAATTCATGCTGCCATGCCATGTAGCAGTTTACACACAGTCCTTGTGGTAGGCTTCTACAGTCACCTTTGGTCCTAACATCACTTCTGCAGGAGACCATCGCAGGTTCTAAGCCTCACCCAGCGTGTACTGGGGTACCATGTGTATTCTTTGACAATGTATGTCTTCATGTTACAGATTCATAACATAGATTATAACGCTCCTCACAGTTTGATACGCATTCCTCACGTCAATGCAACAACTGCTCCGTTCCTACAATGTTGCGGTGTCGTGTAGAAGGCTCTCGCATCAAGTTGAACATCACGAGGCTATCTTTTCTCGTTTCTCCATTGCTCAAGGGCGTGCTCCGTATCCTTGCAGAAGCGAGGTAAATATGTAAGTTTTCCCTAGTTCCCGAATCCATCTTCTGTCAATGACATTGCTCTACAGTGCATCGCTAATGTCATAGACTTAGTGGGAAAGCCTGACATCTGATGCACCCAATATGTCTCCCTCGCCAGACGTCCAATGCTGTGTCTAATATTGTCGGCGGAGTCACCTGTGACCAAACGTACAGACGCTCATACTGCAACTAGCAGACCTACCACTCCGCTGGGTGCTGAACATATTGCGGAGGTTAACTGCTTGGTGATCGAGTCCTTGTTAGGTGCTTCATGCATTTCTCACGATCACGACGAACAAGTAAGATTCCTCTCCGTTCTGAGACTACTTTGGATCGATTTCTGTGAGGCCCAACTCAGTGTATACGACTGTGTTATGTGGAACTGCGGGGCACTGAACTTGTATAGATGTTGCAGAGACAGATAGTGTTAATATATTAAAAGAAAGAGCCACAAAGTATAGACTTATATGCAGTTCACTGCCCTGAAGTTAGAAGATGTGTGAACTCTGATGTGAAGTTGAGGTGCCAGCCTCAGCACAGGATTTTCTTCCATCACCATCACCACCACCACCACCAGAATGCCCATCACATCCTCAACACTACTCCGGGCGCATGGACACCAGACGCGATGTCACGGATGAGGAGAACTAATTTGAAGATTCTGTACGTGCCCACTCTTCATTTCTGCGATGCGATTCCTGCCCCAAGTATTCAAAGTGAGCCGGACATTAATCAAGAAATTCGCAACAATGCATAGTTGACTATGTTACACGAGTCAGACTTGGAGCCAGATTGAGAATATGATAAAAGTTCTAGAGGGATGAACGCTTTGATGATTCGTCCCCCGCACCCTAGTGGCGATCCGTCAAGGCTTCTCACTCAGCCTCAGGATAATTCTGCATCATACGCCTAAGTTCCACTTCTGGAACCCTCGTCTGAAATTCAATAGTGCATGGGACATTTGGGATCATCACGCTCGTGAACCCCATGTCATCCTGCGGCTTCGTAGGATCCAGACTGAGCTGGAAGGCCCAAAGGATAAGAAGCGAATTTATGAACACCGATCTGTATCGTTTCAGATGAGATCGGGAAATCATGTGTGTGGAAAGAATTGTAACCTGTTCGCAACGTGTTGACCTGGGCATACGCTGGAAGGAAGGACAATCGAAGGAAGTATATCCCAAAAGACAGTGCTTACCGCCGACCAAACCCAAATACAAAGAATGAGAGATCTCTCAAGCGACCTTGGTCGTCAATCCAGCGCTGGGGCTTGAACGCATCAGGCTCCGGATAGACTTCTGGATCTCGAGAGATGGCCCTGAGGCGGTGATAATTTGATATATCATATCTTGAAGGACATCGACTTACCAGTGGTTGCCGATTACCGTAGTTCCAGCGGGAATGCAATAGTTTTCCTAGCGGCGGATGTCAGATCATCCTGCGGGCGACAAATCGTTCAGAGTACTTGCCCAAATAACGTCTTCAGTCGTTCGGTGAGGCACACCTGTGGGGTGGACTGTGTAAACTTCAAGTGCAGGGCTGACTACTCAGAGACCCACCTTCAGGAGCCAACGGTCTCCATCTCAAAGCCTCAGAGATGAAGGCCTCCAGACGAGGAAGGGACGGTTTGTCGGCGAAGGTCGGTGCTTTAGCAGAGAAAACATTCAATTGACAGAACTACGATGCAAAATCGATCTACCTCGCTCCCTTCCTATGACAGCATCAAGCTCGGCCTGGACTTTAGCTTGCTCTTCAGGAAAATGTGCGGCCGCCATCAGCACCGTGCATATCGCCGCAGAGGTCTGACACCTAATCTCAGTGTATACAAACGCGAAAAATGAAGGCGCCTTACCGTGTCGGTTCCAGCTCCAAATAACGCGCCAGCAAGATACGCCATCTCGATCTCTGTCAAGCCATAGAGATGCCCATTTTCTAGACTATGTTTTGCAAACGAAGGACCGATGTCCTCGTTGCTCTGCTGTAAACAACTTAGACATTATGTGAAGATAGGCAAAGCAATGCATACTATGTGCAGTTTCACGCGGTTCAGTTGGTCTATGTAGAGTCGCCTGGTTTTCTCAAACTGGTGTTTTAATTCTGGCGCATACCAAGGAAGGTATTTGAGCCACGGTATCGAGTCCACCAAGTAATTACCATGACGCAGGATTGTACGGAATGTCTTGATGAGCTGGCGAGCCTCTACAATTTGAGGGTCAGTTGCTGACGTCGGCGTGGTCTTCCCATATGTAACTTTCATGATCGTCGTTGCAGCATAACTTCCAAAATCTCGTAAGTAACACACTATCAGACCCCGCGCGTAGGAAACTGCTTACGCTGCCACATGGTTCTGAAAGTTGTGTGGATCGTTAAGAATGTTGACGATTACGTGCTTAGCTTGTGACATTTGCAGAGGCTGATACGCCTCAGCTAATTTGGGCTGGAGATGCGTATGAAGTGCTCTGCACCATATTTAGAGGTAAGATAAGGGCTGTTTGAGCCTTTACATTATCGCAACGACGAACCTACGCATCCGACGGAACCTGTCCCCAGCGTGTGCCACAACGATGTCCAGTCCGCGAGTAAGAATTTCTCCAGCAGCAAGGCGAGGTCGATCAGCTAGCATTTTACCCTGCTTCTCCATTATATCTACCGCGGCCTGCCACGAAGTGTTGAATCTGGAAATGATGGCATATCATGAAGGGACTAACTTTGTATCGGCCGATAATCACGATAGTCTGGATTCCTGAGCGAATAGTAACCAGAGGGCCATACTCGTCGATCCACCGCGCTACAGTGAGAGATGCGCTGATCAACGATGGGGTGAAATCAGATTACAAAAACGAAAAGGTCAACATGAAACTTCACTTGAGAGGGGGTAGGAAGTGTCCCCGAAGCCGCCAAGTGGGAGGAGAAGGAGGAAGGCGGGATTTACGGGGGTAAGCACAGATTATCATTCCTATAGCCCCAACGCAAGCTGTAGCACCGAGAACGAGCTGCATGTTGCCAGAAATGCGTAGGTCAGGCAGATATAGCATGACTGATTGGAGGAGTGGAAAGAGATGAGGCGGACCTCATCGAAAGTGCATTCAATTTATTTAAGGCACCTCACGCCGACACCACGGACGGGAAGAGACGGCCACCTGTCATGCCCCATTACGCATTGCTAACATATTAGGGGAAGCAAAGACACGAGAAGCGGAAACCGGGCAAGATCCTGAATTATAATCGGCTTGCTATGGCCTTCGTATTGTGCAGTGTGCACTGCATATGAGCGTCGATTTTGACGCGCGCTGGGCCATGAATCGGGTATGATGGTGGTGGTGGTAGGCACTCGGGAGTTTGAAGGTATGGTGCAGTTTACTGAATCTTGAAACCAGACATTTTAGGAAGGGGGATCTTTTGGGGTTCAGCAAACGCATATGATAGCATCCAATACGGTCACCGATCACATATATGGCTAAGAATGGAGTCAGGAAGGTAGGTAATGTTACCATACATGTCACTCGAAGATGCACTCCCGACTCGGAAGTCCCAGACCTGAACAAACGCTGAAAAGTGTCGATGCGGCATCTTGACAGTACCCGCCATGCTGATTCCTGAACGTAGTGTTTTAACATCAGTTACGTAGGGAGTGCTAGGATGAGAGCGAACACCAGCTGTCATACCAACTTAATCTGTTGGAATATCAGTTGGGTCCTGCAAAAGGGTGATCCTTTTCGGATCTTCTGATAGCGCATCAAACGGCCAACCACGGTGTCACGGACTGGGACTGTGAGCAACAACTTGGCAAGAAGTTGAGAACTCAAAAGGCTTGAGGAGAAACACGTGCGTGTCAACGGCAAGCCACGTATACGAGTCGCAATTGACCTGGCAGAGATGCATCATGCATCGCTGCTCAAACGCTCACGTGACTAGCACTGGCCGCAGTAGCGGACCAAAATAGTGAAGGTTAGCAAATTCCGTCATCCCTACTAAACACTCTAGGCTAAACATTCCTCCAGCATCTCTATGTCCACACAAATTATCCGCCTCGCCGCTCCAACTACCTCCCATACGGAGTGCCACAGCACTCTACGCCAAAGTCCTGCATCGTGGCCTTAGTAAATCGTGTACGATTTCTCAGGCAATGACAGCAAGCACACCCCTCAGCAGGACATCTCCACTAACCCCCAAAGGTCACGCAGTTTCTGCAGCAGCATCTTCCTTTCCGTCGGTCGATACCCAGCCAGGGACAACCACGACTGGTCGTTGATGTCGCAGCTGGGCACGCTACGGAGGTAAGTACTAAGGTGGACCTTCTTATCCCTTCCCTCTTTGTTAATGGGCACGCTACATCGTGTCGTTGTTACCCCCGTGCGCTATTACAAGAAAGTCAATGATACTCGACGTCCGCCTAGAGAAGAGCCTGTGTCGCATGACACGGCACAAAGCGACACAACGTTTGTGATCTCTTACATTGATTCACTCCCAAACGTGCATTGGTTCATGGCATTCCTTTGCTACCTCTCCTACTGGTCTGATGGTAGATTGAGGATGCCTCCTCGATGGGATTCAGAGCCCGCCCACTCGTCGCTCTAGAATAATGGTGACGATGCACACGCTCTCGGTTAGTTCATTATGCTTTCACTTCTATTCACTCACATTTCTTGATTTCCCACTGTGTTCGCTTTGATTTCAAACTTCTCGTCGCTGCGCATTTTATGGCCCGTCATGGAGATGATATTACCCGCAGATACCGATGGATCCTGACGTTCTGTTTATAATGCTCCAGTTGTAATGATATAACGTAGGTGTTAATGAAATACGAAATGCAATCAATATCCTCTATGATACTAACCCTAAAAAGACATTCGAGGGGCTTATAGATTATTTCTGTGAACGGTCGTGTGAACAGCAGCAGCGAAATGGTCAATGTAGTGCCTGACTCAGCAGATTAGCTCCTCATCATTCGATGCCATGGTAGCCAAATGCCAGTCAAGGCTCCGTGGGATGCCCTTGCCTTTGACGTTTGCTGGTGATCCTGTCCAAATACGACCTCCTGGTGGGATTCGCATACCTGTATCCTTGTTAAACTGCAAGCCAGTAGCTCGCTAGTGGTCGCTTCGTTGGCGGTGCTGCAGCTTTGTGAGAATGTGAGCTTGAGCCCTTTGATTATTAAGTTTGATATCTGCATCTGAAGATCCATCATCAGTGAGACTTACCATAATTTCTGGTAGGGAGTTGATGCGCTGTCACGGTGGTGGTCTTTTGCGTTAGCAAATCACTGCTAATCCTATGTGATTCTACTGTCGTTCTTCGACTCGGACTACAGACATCCATCTTGACCAGTCTTGCTAGCCAAGTGGTGAGCATGATAGGAAGTCTGGCAGGTTCGAAACTTGCTCAACAATCTTTTCCCTTTTACATAGTACCACGCCTTGAACATTCACTCAGGGATGGATCCTTCAAGGTCCATCTTAAGTAGTCACCGCCAACTGGCACCGGAACAGGTTAGAAATCTGCTCTCTTGCGTGGTGTGGATTCGAAACGTACGGACAAATGTCTTGTCGCACCTTGATATTCACTCACGGACAGTTCTTCAGAGATTCATCTCAACTTGGGAAGTATCCTGGCCAAAGTGATTACCACAAACAGAGTCGAAATCTGTTTCTCTTGCAAAACCTGCCGATGACAAGATTTTTTCTCTCCCAACACACCTTGACATTCACCCATGGATGCTTTCATTGTGGGTTCGTTTCATTGGTATTAGTCAAGTGGTTACCACGACGGAATCAAAATCTGTTTCCAATTAGACTGTGCGGGTTCGAAACCTGTTGACCATGGTTTTTTTTCTGTCGGAACACCTTGAAGATTCGCCCATGGATAGTTTTTTCGGAGGTCCACCTTAGCTGGTCATAACCAAGTTGTTACCGCAAGAGAATCTAAATCTGTCTCTTGGACTGCGCTAGTGCAGGTTCGAAGCCTGCGGACAACAAGGGTCTTTTCTATCAGAATACACCTTGAAGATTCGCTCGTGGATGGTTTCCCTTAACCAGGTGATTGCCACAGCAGAATCAAAATCTGTTGAACCTGCCGAAGACAAAGTTTCTTTTTCCGATCGGAACACGCCTTCACACTCATGGACACTGGCAGTTCCTCAGAGGTTCATCTCCACTTCGCCCTAGCCAAAGTGGTTACCACAACGGAATCAAAATCTGTTTCTTAGTTCAAAACTTGACAGACAACAGGTTTTTTCTTTCTCGGACTCCATGGTGCAGAAGGAGCCAATAACGTTCTTGAACCCCGAAAACTGGAGACCAAGCAACGAGGTGAATTACTTCGTTGGGTGTCTCCTCATCGCCGACGGCGGTATGACAAGCAAATAAGAACGCGAACTCAGCATGCGGAACGTTTCTCTCCATGATATCGAGAAGCGTCAGATGTTCATTTTTCATGACGAGATGCGAATTGTAAGGCTGCGTAAGGTCCCGCTTGCCATGAAAAGCAAGGTGCATCCAGGTATTCTACTGCAAAGCTTCGAGTGCACCTGCTCGTGTGGCTGCGCCGCCAGAAATAGTGGTGCGGTTGGCAGTCGCGGGGACGAGCTTATGGACAAGCTTGAGCTCGCTGTCAACAGCCAAGAGTGCCTTGTCTTTCCCTGCACCCTGATGACCCTGTCCGATTGTCACAAAGGACGGAATGACACGTTTCTTCATCATCTGTCTAGACCTGGCCAGAGCCAAAGGTGTCGGCGTGTAAGAGGACATGTAGAGATCCTCCGGGCATGACTCCTTAGAGTGATCTGCGTTCGTTCGAAATGGGTGAGCTGCCTGAAGAGGAATAGACGTGAAAGCTGCTGTTAGACAAAGCCAGATTCGAGAGTAAAATTTTAGTTTCGGGCCCTCCTGGAGGACATCGACAATGGGTAACATAATCTCGTCCCATACTGTCCGCAAGAGGCCTATTAGATCGTTCTGTGGCTGCTTCGGGCCATGTTAGATGCGTGTCGTATTGCCCTGGCGAAGCGATTCTTGAGATTGTTCAGGTCTGCGAGAGCGACAGACGGCAAGGGAACATGGTGGGGCTCTCCTGACATCGGGACGATGATGGTACAGCATGAGTATTGATTCGCAATAAGGATAATGACCGGGCCCTGGCGTGCCGCCGCTTGCAGGTCTTGGTATGAAGGCGAGAGCAGGGACCGCGAGAACGGGGCCCGAAGATCACGTATCTCAGCCACCGCAGCTTCCCATTACGTTGTAAGTCGCCTATACTCTGGGCAGTATTGGAAAGGCACTTGCTCAGCTCCAAATAATTGTGAGCCAGTTTCGAATGTGCTGCGCCCATGTCTCCAACCGGAGTCCTGAGTCGTGATGCCAGTGACCATTGCCGGCCACGACCCTGCTCTGCGAGTTCAACTGCCTGTCGTAGATTATAATGGCGGATGGCACATGATGTTGCATCTACAGACAACTATATGACACCACTGAAGGCTGGCGGTAGCTTTCGTGAAATCGTTGACGATCACGTCATCACGTGGTTGTCGAAAAGCTCCAAGTATACTACTTGATATGCTTCGAGGGGAAAGTCGTGTTGATGACCCTCAGCTTCATCAACCCAGCGCAAGGCGATTTGGATACAATTTGGAAAACCTTGAGTAGGGTCTGGAGTTCTCTATAGCGAGCGACAAATCAGCATGGTCGTGTAGAATCCAGTAACGAGACAAATGGGCCTCTTGCAGCCATCTGTAGCTGAAGGGTGCAGTGAAGATAGAGCCAACGTCCAATGCGAAATCGACGATATCTCAGATGAGAACTATTGTGAAGATTCCGTACGTGCCCGCTCTTCATTTCTGCGATGCGATGCCTGCCCCAAGTATTCAAAGTTAGCTGGACGTTAATGAAGAAATTCGCGACAATGCATAGTTGACTATGTTACACGAGTCAGACTTGGAGCCAGATTGAGAATATGATAAAAGTTCCTGGAGGGATGAACACTTGATATTCGTCCCCCGCCTCCTAGTGGCGATCCGTCAAGGCCTTCTACTCAGCCTCAGGATAATTCTGCATCATACGCCTAAGTTCCACTTCTGGAACCCTCGTCTGAAATTCAATAGTGCATGGGACATTTGGGATCATCACGCTCGTGAACCCCATATCATCCTGCGGCTTCGTAGGATCCAGACTGAGCTGGAAGGCCCAAAGGATAAGAAGCGAATTTATGAACACCGATCTGTATCGTTTCAGATGAGATCGGGAAATCATGTGTGTGGAAAGAATTGTAACCTGTTCGCAACGTGTTGACCTGGACATACGCTAGAAGGAAGGACAATCGAAGGAAAGTATATCCCAAAAGACAGTGCTTACCGCCGACCAAACCCAAATACAAAGAATTTGAGATCGTCTCTCAAGCCACCTTGGTCGTCAATCCAGCGCTGGGGCTTGAACGCATCAGGCTCCGGATAGACTTCTGGATCTCGAGAGATGGCCCTGAGGCGGTGATAATTTGATATATCATATCTTGAAGGACATCGACTTACCAGTGGTTGCCGATTACCGTAGTTCCAGCGGGAATGCAATAGTTTTCCTAGCGGCGGATGTCAGATTATCCTGCGGGCGACAAATCGTTCAGAGAGTACTTGCCCAAATAACATCTTCAGTCGTTCGGTGAGGCACACCTGTGGGGTGGACTGTGTAAACTTCAGGTGGAGGACCGACCATTCAGAGACCCACCTTCAGGAGCCAGCGGTCTCCATCTAAAAGCCTCAGAGATGAAGGCCTCCAGACGAGGAAGGGATGGTTTGTCGGCAAAGGTCGGTGCTTGGCAGAGAAAACATTCAATTGGCAGAACTACGATGCGAATTCGATCTACCTCGCTCCCTTCCTATGACAGCATCAAGTTCGGCCTGGACTTTAGCTTGCTCTTCGGGGAAATGTGCGGCCGCCATCAGCACCGTGCATATCGCCACAGAGGTCTGACACCTAATCTCAGTGTATACAAACAGGAAAAAGGAAGGCGCCTTACCGTGTCGGTTCCAGCTGAAAATAACGAGCCAGCAAGGTATGCCATCTCGATCTCTGTCAGGCCATAGAGTTGCCCATTTTCTAGACTATGTTTTGCAAACGAAGGACCGATGTCCTCGTTGCTCTGCTGTAAACAACTCAGACATCATGTGAAGATAGGCAAGGCAATGCATACCATGTGCAGTTTTACACGGTTCAGCTGGTCTGTGCGAAGTCGTCTGGTTCTCTCAAACTGGTGTTTTAATTCTGGTGCATACCAAGGAAGGTATTTGAGCCACGGTATCGAGTCCACCAAGTAATTACCATGGCGCAGGATTGTACGAAAGCTCTTCATGAGCTGGCGAGTCCTCTATGATTTCAGGGTCAGTTGCTGACGTTGGTGTGGTCTTCCCATATGCAACTTTCATGATCGTCGTTGCAGCATAACTTCCGAAAACCCGTAAGTAACACACTATCAGACCCCGCGCGTAGGAAACTGCTTACGCTGCCACATGGTTCTGAAAGTTGTGTGGATCGTTAAGAATGTTGACGATTACGTGCTTAGCTTGTGACATTTGCAGAGGCTGATACGCCTCAGCTAATTTGGGCTGGAGATGCGTATGAAGTGCTCTGCACCATATTTAGAGGTAAGATAAGGGCTGTTTGAGCCTTTACATTATCGCAACGACGAACCTACGCATCCGACGGAACCTGTCCCCAGCGTGTGCCAGACCGATGTCCAGTCCGCGCGTAAGAATTTCTCCAGCAGGAAGGTGAGGTCGATCAGCAAGTATTTTACTCTGCTTCTCCATTATATCCATCGCGGCCTACCACGAAGTGTTGAATCTGGAGATGATCACGTATCATGAAGGGACTAACTTGGTGGCGGCCGATAATCACGGTAGCCTGGATTCCTGAGCGAATAGTAACCAGGGGGCCATACTGGTCAATCCACCGCGCCACAGTGAGAGATGCGCTAATCAGCAATGGGGTAAAATCAGATTTAAAAAACGAAGAGGCCAATATGAAACTTTACTTGAGAGGGGGTAGGAAGTGTCCCCGAAGCCGCCAAGTGGGAGGAGAAGGAGGAAGGCGGGAATTACGGAGGTAAGCACAGATAATCATTCCTATAGCCCCAACGCAAGCCGTAGCACCGAGAACGAGCTGCGTGTTGCCAGAAATGCGCAGGTCAGGCAGATGTAGCATGTCTGATTGGAGGAGTGGAAAGAGATAAGACGGACCTCATCGAAAGTGCATTTAAGTTATATAAAGCACCTCACGCCGACTTCACGGACAGCAAGAGACGGGCACCTGTCATACCCCATTACGCATTATAATACTAACATAATAGGGAACGAGGAAACCTGAATCACAACTTGGATCGGTTTACTATGGCCTTCGTATTGTACACTGGCTATGAATACCAATTTTGACGCGTGCTGGGTCAGTGAATCGGGTATGATGGTGGCGGTGGCGGTGGTGGTAGGCACTCGGGAGTTTGGAGGTATGTGCAGTTTACGGGGTCTGAATCTTGAAACCAGACGTTTTAGGAAGTTTTGATCAAGCCTCTGCAGCATGAGTCAGCAAACACATGGGGTTACCGATCACATACATGGCTAAGCGACATGATGTGGAGTGACACTAGCACTGAGACCTGAGGCCTGAGGGCCCAGGCCTGCAAGTACGGTACCTGCCACGAAGATGTACTCCCGACTCGGAGGTCCTAGACCTGAAAATGTGTCGATGCGGCAGCACCCCCCCATGCTGATTCCTGAACGTAGTGTTTTAACGTCAGTTACATAGGGATGCGAGCAAAACACCCACCGTGTCATACCAACTTCAAGTCAATCTGTTGGAATACCACTTGATTCATTTCGGATCCTGTGATCGCGCCGCCCATCACACGGCTAACCACGGTGTCACGGACTGCCAACTTGCCAAGAAGTCCAGAACTAAAAGGTTCGAGGCCACGATGTCTTCCCAACGCGAGGTAGTAAATATGCAAGTTATCCCGAGGACCCGAGCTCCCGAATCCATCTTATGTCAATGACGTTGCTCTTCAGCGCACTGCTAATGTCATCAGTGGGAAACGATATCTGGATTCTGATACACCTACCATATCTCGCTCGCCAGCAAGCCCACACGTCTAATGATATGTCTAATATTGTCGGGGGAGCCACACCACACCTGTGACCAGACGTAAAGACGCTTATACTGCAACTAGCAGACCTGCCACTTCGTGAGGCTGACGGAGGTTGACTGCTTGGCGCTTCCCGCGTCTCTCACGATCACGACGAACAACTCCTGCCACTAAGATTCCTCTCCGTTCTGAGACAACTTTCTCGATCTCTTTCTGTGAGACACAGTTGTGCAACTCAATGTATACGATTGTGTTATGTGGAACTCTGCGGGGCACTGAAATCTAGATATTGCAGAGACGGATAGCATTAATCATATTGAGAGAAAATACAGACATATATACAGTACTAGCGTTATCCATGACCCAAGTCACTAATCTCAAGTTCAAAGATATGTGAGTGACTCCGAGGTGAAGTTGAGGTAGCCTCGAGTCAGCAACTAAATTTGTCACGCAATCTTCTTTCACCACCACCGGCAGCAGCAGCAGAATGCCCATTACATCCCCAACACTCGTTCCCCGCCCTCCAATCACCCCCCTCGTCCTCCCGCGCGCACCCCAAGTAAACCCAACCCCACTCCCCAAACTCGATCGCTACCCCGGGCGCATGGACACCCGACGCGATCTCCAACGCGAAATCGATGACCTCTCAGATGAAGAGAACGAACTTGAAGATGCTGTGCGTCCCCTTCTTCATTTCTGCGATATGATTCCTAACTGATACTCCACCGTCAATGTATTTTCGTATGGACGCGTGAAACGCTAAAATAGAACTTGGTGATAAGGAATCGAGGGTTTCAGTGGCTCGTTCCTATTGGGCGGCATACGACGCTGTTGGAGGAGAAGAATGAGGTACGTGGTTGGGTGTTTCGTTCAAGTTGAACTGTCGTCGATATTCTTGTAGGCAGAAGACGATTCGGATGGCTCTGATACAGGCCAATCAGGCGGCGGCCCTTCGATCAACGAGGACGGCGAGGAAAACGACGATTCAGGAGCTGATTTGGACGCAAGCATGGAGGATATGGATGAGGAGGGTGAGGCGGGGACTGCAAGTGAAGCGGAGGATGTGAATGATATGACGGATGATTTTGAGGAGAGGTCAAGCGATGCTTGATACACCACACTCAGAGCAGGACAGAGCAAAACGATGAAATTATGGGTGGTATCGATAAATATTGGTACGTGCACATGCGAGATCTACTTGACAGATATACATAATCCACAAATAAGTTAGATCCTTGTTGCTCATCTCCACTTCCCAACAACGCCGAAGTTGAACCACGCGAAGTTTCAAGTCACCAACACGAAGTCCAGCCACTGCGAACTGAAATCGAACCACTACGAACCCGATTTAAGGCTGGAAATCTGTCACAGACAACGTCCCGCGCGTATGCCTTCTCCTAGGGCTAGGGTTAGCCATGACGAGTGGCCGTACCCATAATCGGACGTGGCCCGCTTTTGACGCTGTTACGAGTGCGCGGTGGAGGAAGGCGAGGGATGTGAGGAGGTCGGCGTCGAGTTGCTTTACCTGTTGTGCATTATGAAGTTGCATTCACAATGAGGTCGTGTAGAAAAAAGCAAAAATCAGAGAAGAGGGGATATGAAGACAGGGAGGAAGACCCACCAATACAGGTTGTACAGTCGACACTTCATTCCTCGAAGGCGCAGGATGATATCGCGGTGCAGATAGTTGGCTCGTCGACCCTGTACCGCGCCGGTAAGCGAGCGAAATACTAGATGCCATCGATGGGCGCTGATGGTGTACTCCGAGGAGTTTGGGGCGATGAAGAGCGCCAGAGGAAAAGTCCCACTGTCAGTATTTAGACTAGTCAAGTGATCGGTTATTCATAGGTACTAGAAACGAACGCACGAGAATAAGCTTGTTGTCCTCTCCTACACTACCAAAGCGGTACGTCCGCCCATCGCAGCGGGATTCGTCAAAAGCGACGGATGAGACGAATGAGGAGTGTCCTTGGCATCGTGCGACGACTCGTTGTTCCCAAGGGGAGAAAATGGTGAGGAGGTCGTCTTGGCCGCCGGTCTGGTTGAGGGTAGACAATCAAAGATGTTCATTGGATTGTGAACTTGGAGTGAAACGCACAAGGATGAAGCGCCCGTCAGGAGACCATGCGACACAGGTCAGAGAACCGAAATAGGATGCGTAGCAGTCTACCAGCCTGGATCATCAAGATCAAAGTCTGTTCAGCAATTGGAGGAAGATACGACATACTGCTCTGCAAGTGGATCGATCACCCTCAAACACCCATCCTCTGAAATGGCAGCTACGTATTTGTTATCGGGGGAGAACACAAAGTCTAGCTACGATGAGCTCCCAACACAAGTATTAAAAAGTATTCACTCACCGACAACACCACGCCGACACAGACGCCAATGGCTTACAGGGTTCTTTGCTACTACGCCCTTCTCTCCCCTCCCGGTTGCTTCTGGATGCCACGGCGGAGGTGTGACAAATATCGATGATAGGGGGTCCCATCCATTACCTACGGGAGATGGGTGGTGTGCATTGATGGTTATATGCGGGGTATTTGTGAGTCCATTTGGAATGCTGGCAGTGAACAAGCCGTCTTCACGTTCTTTGTCGTAGACGATTATGGTTCCATCTGCGTGGGAGACGAGAAAAAGGGTTGGGGAGGAGGGGACCCAACGGACGGCTGTGCATATAGAGGAGGAGATGGTGCCCTTGGATTTAGGTGTCAGATGCGTTTACAGTAGAAGTGGGGTTAACTACCTGTTTGTTAAGGCGGCAGTAGCGGCTTGAGATTGGGTCTAATTGATCAGTGTGAGCAAAGGGATAGAGCGTGAGATGAGGTACACACCGAACCATACGAGGTCACCTGTATTGAATCCTATGACAACGTCTAGTCGTTCTGAGGATGCGGTGGAGGGGTTTACGTCGTGACAAGTTGGGTATGCAGAGAAGCTAATCCTCGTTAGCGGTTCCTGGTAGAATTATGCAGCGTTTTGCGCAGCCAAGGAGTAGATGACGCACCTTGGCTTTGGCCCCCACTTCGATCCACAAGAAGGCCTTGCCAGTATTATAGAACAAGAAAGTGACCTCGCCCTGCTTTGCTGCGAGTGTTTTGTTGAGACCTTCAGCGCTGTGGAGACGTGTGATAAATGTAGAGGATGTGGTGCGCATGTTGTGCTTTGGTCGTGATATGTGTGATTTCTTTTTAGTTGTTGAGATGGAAGGGTGAGAGAAGAGCTTGTACTGCTGGTGTTCTACTGGTGTTGAGATTGAGAGGTCCGGGGTAGCTACTGGATCTGGAGATGAAAAGCTGTCTTCTGGGGTATCGCTGGATGACATGCTCCGCTCCTCCAACAACGGGCGCTCCTTTACAAAAGCTTCCTTCTCCTTGTCTTTCTCCTTGTCCTTTTTAAGATCCTTTGTTAGATTTGCACCAAGAAACTGAGCGAGACCCGGGGAAGCTGGTTGCTTTGGTGGAAACCGGATTGTGATAGATGAAAGGCGAGTTTGGTAGATGGGTTGTGCTGTTGTAGAAGAGTGAGTAGTGACTTGAAGAGGTTTATGTTCTTCAGTGACGGAGTAGACGCCCTCAGGAGCCACGAATGCGCTGTCACTCTCCATGGATCCTGAAATCTTGATGAGAAGGTGTTAACACCAAGCTTAATCTACTTTGGGTATTAAGGGCCTTGAGAAATTCCTACGCGCCTTTCCGCATCCCTGGCATCGCCTCAAGTCTGTTTAATTATATAGTGATATCGATATGTTAGCACACGGAGACGATCTACTTACAGTGGTTCAATTGCAGAATGCTAGCTAGGCCAATCCAAACATGAAGTATAACCAACGAACTTTCAACTTCCGACAATATCTAATCGCGTTCCTACTGCATGGGACATAGTATCTGACCAGCCTGGAGTCTGTACTAGGACCTGTTTTATTTTGGACGATTGACCTGCAAATCATTGGCTGTAACTGCAACTATATTTAAAAAATAGTGTCCCGTGTCGTACTTACCACGCGTGCAGACCAGGGTCCAGTATCAACGATAACACTGCCATGGTGTAGTCTTACTAACTTTGC